ACACTCTGAATAGTTTCTTTGCACGCTTCAATACACCTGGCAGCAGTACATCTCCCTCAGCTCAAGGAACAGCACCAGCCTCTTGTCCTGCAGCTCCACCCTGAGGAGGATCAACACCAACAAAGCTGCAGGACCAGAGAGGGTGTCAGGCTGGGTTTTGAAGCTATGTGCTGACCAACTGGCAGGAGTTTTCTTGGACATTTTTAACCTGTCCCAGCATCTTGCTTCATTGTGCGTGTGCCAAAGAAATCAGATGTCACCTGCCTCAGTGATTACCACCCTGTTGCTCTGACACCAGTAATCATGAAGTGGTTTGAGAGGCTCATTCTAAAGCACATCAAGGACGTCATCCCTGTTGGTCTGGACAGCCATCAGTTCGCCTACAGAGAGAACCGATCAACAGAGGATGCTGTCTCAATAGCATTACACACAACCCTGTCCCACCTGGAGCATCCTAGCACTTATGTGGATAACATCAAGTTCCTGGGCATCCACATCACATCTGACCTGACCTGGTCTCTGAACACATCCTACCTGGTGAAGAAAGCCCAGCAAAGGCTTTTCTTCCTCAGGAAGCTGAAATATGCTGGTCTCTCCTCTCAGCTGCTCGCAAACTTCTGCAGAGCGACAGTAGAGAGCATCCTCTGTCTTAGTGCAACAGTGTGGTACGGGACCTGCACTGCACAGGACAGAAAGGACTTGACCCGGGTGGTGAGAACAGCTCAGAGCATTCTAGGGAGTCCTCTTCTGGATCTGGACTCACTATACACTGACTGGATCCAGAGGAGGGCCGGACAGATTGCTGCAGACCCCACCCACCGAGGCAACAGTCTGTTCTCTCCAGGAAAAGGTACAGGAATATAAAGACTACAACAGACTGAGACACAGCTTCTTCCCCAGAGCTGTGAAATCAATCACCCCCCTAACCCCTAGTCACACACACACAACCTCCCTCCTATGGACAGACACAGACACAGAACATTGGACCTATGCAGACACACACCCATGCTCACACCTCTTCCTAAAGACTGAGATTTGCACTGAGCTGCACCTTATAATGTTACTACACTCTTTTGCTGCTAACATGCTGCTGACCTGATTAGGTCCCATACATCCCTTTTTATTTGTTCATATTTTTATATTGACTTATACAATTGTGTGTTATTAAATAATGTGTCTTTTAAGCTGAGAGCTGCCGGAAAATTTTTTGTTGTGCTATGCATAATGACAATAAAGATTCTTGATCTTGATGACTATACTTATACTATATTTCTCAGTCTCTTTATCAGAATGCAACTGGAAAACATAGGAAATATGTACACAGTGTTAAAAAACAGAAATGTCAGAAAAAAATCAGCAAACAAACTGGATACTCCAGAAGTAATTCTAAAGAAATATGAAGAATCCGGAGAGGTCAAGGACAAACACAGGGGTGGAAGACCAAGAAAACTGATGAGAAGTATATTCTTTGAGAGTCTGAAGGAAATCCAGCAAAGCTCTGGCCCAGCATCTAGCAACTTCATCTGAATGCCAAGTTGATCCTTCCATGTTCCAAAGAATCTTGAATAGGAACAGCCTTTGTGGAAGGACAGCAGCCAAAAAGTCACTTTTTCAGAAGAGGGACAGGCTGAAATATGCAAAGGCTCACAAAGATTGATCTGAAGATCAGTGGAAGAGAGTATTATGGTGAGATGAATCAAAGACTTTGAAACAGTCTCCCCAAGAAGATTCAAGCTCTACTAAGTGCAAAGGGAGCTCACACTAAATACTGACTTTGGACTGTAGAAGCCATTTTGATCTGAAAATGTTGTTTTTTAATACTGTGTACATATTTCCTGTACTGTATTTTCTGGTTATATCATAATAAAGAGACTAAAAAATAAATAGAAATCATCATCACAACCTCACTAAAACAATTAAACTAATGGTGGCCTGAGACCTTTCAACATTACTATAAATACCTACAGTTAGATTTAAGATTATAGATTTGAGTGTACAGTCTTACTTATTTTCACTTGTCACTAGTTTTCCAGGATTGTGGGGATCAAGGTCAACCTTCATCTCATCCCAGTTCATCTGTTCATCAGTTATGAAAGAGAAAAGGTTAGCAATATCATAGAAAAACCATTGTAATACTCTATGATAATATAAATGAAACAGCTAGCAAGCCATCTTCCATCTTTTAGGGTGAAACACCAACCTCAAAACACATACACAGGTTCTCTAGAACATCATCTTCATAGTCCAAGATGCACTGTAGATTCCTTTGAACAGAGTAATACAAAAACTGTTATACTAAAAAAATCAACTGTGACCCTTTAGTCACAACAAATGTGTATTACTAATTTTAGATGAATACTGACCGTCCTTCACATGGATTGAATTCCATCATATCCTCTAGTGAAGGCTTCTCATCGAGCAGCTTCTTGAACAGAGCCAGTGGGAAGGGTAAGTTAAGGATGCACTGGTTGTACAAGGCTAGTCCGCACAGAAACCCAAACAGGAAGAAATTTCTCTTGTCCTTCTTTGTTGCCTGTAATAATAACAGTGGAAACAATCAAAACCCCTGGAAATCATTTGAACATATGTCAATGATTTTTCATGGTTTGTAAACTGCATAACCAAAACTGCCTGTTGTTCCATTATTCTTCATAATCATGAGCAGGAAATCAATTAAATAAAGTGAATCCAGGAATCTGCAGTTAAACAATAATTTTCATGTATGATCATAAAGTCTTACTCTGGAAGGGAACCATGCCAGTGTTTTGGAGTCATTAAACATGAACATCCCAGATTTTGTTGACACCATGTCACGAAACAAATAGTGAAACAGGTCTCTTTTGTAGACATCTGTGACCTTTGGGTCCTCATCAAAATAGACCTTCAAAATAGAAGTTAGAATTCTTCCTGTTAGAAAGACGCTTGCTGCAGAGGAGAGTAAAATGATGCAGAGGCCAAAATGAAGTACTTACCACAAGTGGCTTCTTGAAGGCACTGGGATGAGCAGCAGCTGAGCCAAGCTGTTTGAAGGTATCCTTTAAAAGTGACTCTCGCTTCAACTTCAGTTCAAAATATTCTTGCTTCCATCCATGAAGCCAAGTCATCTTTGGTTGTGCCTGTTCACGCTATAATACAATCCACAATGGCCATTTTTCAATTTTATATGTTTATGTGCTATAAGATCATGCATTTTATTATTTAAGGCTGCATTATGTGTTTTTTTTTTTACCATGGTGCAAAACAGTAAAAATAACACTGACATATTATCACTTTCTAAGATTATTATACCAAACATCTATTCGTTGCAAATTTACAAATTCAGCAGACACTGAGCAACATTAGTATTTATTTAGATTCATGTTTCTGGTCACCTCAGTATTCACTCAAACTTTGATCTCCACCAAATCATCCTGCTCATTAGCTGCTACATGCCTCAATATGTTCACCAGCTTTCAAAAGCTTTCAAAGCTCAGTGAAAACAGCTGCTGCTGGTACTGGAACTGAGGCTGAGAGTGAACCAAAACAGCAAAGCTACAGGCTGTAGAGCTGTGGGTAACTGAAGAATCAGGTGATAATTCTGTGCGATCCCTTTCACATTACACACTGTTATCTATTGTTTGTTTAAAATATTGATGAGTGCAGCTCTAAAATTAGGTAAAATTACATTATTGTTTCTAACAGTAATGCAAACTGTACAATACAGTTGATTATTGGAGAGTTCCAGGCTTAAGTTACCTGAATGTACAAAGAATACATGTCAAAAGCCATTTTCTTTGATTTTAGATCCATCACAAATGGGAACTTAAATAGGATAAGCGGCTGATCATTCTTATCCTGAAAAAGAGCACATTAAAACATAACTTTTACCAACAATGATGGATTTTACAAAATTGTGTTTTTACATGTTTACATGAATTAACACCATATGAAAAGTGATAGACATAATGAGAGCAAAAACAAGATGTCTCCCATCTTGAGATCTGTTCAAACCAATTTTTGTTAACTTGCAGTACGTTTTTATCTTTTTTTTTTTTTTACCTGTGAGTGCCAAAGTCTCAGATCCTCTTGAAGAAATTCTTGGCGAATTTCCACACAATATGTTTTTTCAGGAATTCTCTGAAGTCCTACAATCCTGTTGTTGGCCTTTAAAATATGTATATTAAGAAAAGTTGGTAACCATACAGTAAACAGAAAGCATTTTGGTGAGTAGAATTACAGAGGTGTGATTTGAAAAATCACAGGAAATGTGAGACAAATGATACTAACATTGTACATATGTTGGAGGACTAGTAGCAGGTTTCTGACTCTAATGTTATCTGCAGAGGTACGAGGCCCAGAGGGCAGGATCACTGAGAGGGCCTGCTTCCACACCTTAACATGCTTAATCATGGTGGAGGGCAGCAGTGAGCACCACCAGTCCCCTGAGGAAGACAGCATTTGCAAACAGAGCTGATACACAAATATGTGTTTCTAGAAAGTCCATAACATTTGTTATTAATATTTATAACAAATTAATAATACAATCATATTTGAATTAGCTTAAAATTATTTTAAATTAGACTTTGTTATTTTATTTGCCTATGTGTTCTGTCTATTTCACTCATTTTACAATTTACATTTGCTTCCTGCTTTACCCTTTGCCATTTCTGTTCAGTTCCATAAGCACTTTATCGTCATCTGTATTTATTTTAAATATCTGTAAAATATATTTACAGATATTTAAATTATATTTATAGATTTTAAATTCAGTATCTGTAACTGATTATAATTTGCAAAAGTCAAACGCTATATAAGTGGCACACTCAAGACTCTGTAAAGGGCCATCTTATTGCAATTAATGTAAAGTATCTTATCAAAATGAGAGAATGTGCCAAATGCAGACACAGACCCTGGGTTTAGATGTAGGGTACTGCAGGTCAGAGGAGAACATCATTATATGAATTTGTGATTAATGATAAATGAAGCCTCTCAAACATTCAAACAGTTATCTCTCATGATACCTATGACCTGGAGACTCTCCTCAGACAAGCTGAGTATGGCAGCAGCGACTGCCTCTGCAAGCTTTGTGTTCTGTTGCCTTTTGTGTTTCTGGACCACATGCAGAAGCTCACTGAGAAGCAGGTAGACCCTCAGCCCCTCCACTCCCACTGGTGTCGCAACAAGAGAGGGGAGCAATTTCAGAACAGCAGCCTCAACCTGTTGATGAAATACTTTGTATAACTTACAGTTAAACAATCATTTGTATAACATCCCACTTTTTTCTAGTTAATTACTGAACATATACCAAGCATATATGTACTGTATAGTCACATTTCAGTTTCATACCTCCTCATACACATCATCCTTCTTCACAAGTTCCTCCAGTTTCTTTTGTGCAAAAGATAAATTCAGGCCAGAATACTTGGGTGAGGTCTGGAAATGTTTATCTTTGCTAAGCACACAGAAAGTATATGGGAATAGAATACAAATCAAGAGATATAAGTGATGATCATGTGCAGAGACTTTGTGTTTACCTTTGATCCAGGAAGCTTTGATTCACACAGGATGCAGAGGAAAACATCCTCTGTATTTCCCTGTAAAGGGTTCATGTTAATAGCTTTGGAGCCAAATAACAGTAATAAAAAGCTGAACTATTCAACAAACCAATTATATACTGAGAGAAAAATAACTAATACTGCATGATACTCACAGTTTCATCTGTTTACTGAATTTTATATCACAGTTAGAAAGCCATTTGTCAATCATATCATCAACTGAGTTCTGTGTTACACGGTTCATAATGTCAGTGTTTGACCCCTGGTGAATGTTCTGTGAAAAAAAAAGAAGAAAGAGGAAATGTTTGGTTTAGAAAAATCACTTTGCATGTATCAGTAATTGGGGTAAAGGTATTATTAAACCTTCTACAATTAAGGTTTATACTGTACGTGTTTGTGTATTATACCTCATTAGACGTGCACGCTGCAAAAGAGCAGTTTCCTCCTGCATAGATGTTTATAATTTTGGGACCATCACTGCTGTCTAGAATATGTAGCAGAACAAAACGTTATTGCTATCCTTAATCATAAGCTCTCTGGAACTCAGGAAATGAGGCCACTTTAACAATGTTATACAGATGACCATTGCATACTCAAAAATGTAGTGGGTATTCAATGTAAGGCCTCAGAGTAGCCTTAGATTCACACTTTTAATTCTATCCTGTTGCATGTGGTGTACCCCTAGGCACCTTAAACCTCAAAAAACCGAATGACAACACTCAGGGCAATACCTTCATAGTCCAAGATCAACAATGGCATTTTTTATATATAAAAATTACCCAATCGCCCCACTTTGGGGTGGTCTTTTATTCCTTCCTTCAAACTCGGGTCCTCTACCAGAAGCCTGGGAGCTTGAGGGTCCTGCACAGTATATTAGCTGTTACTAGGACTGCACTCTTCTGGACAGAGATCTCAGATGTTCCTATTTCCACGGGGACCACTTGTGCCTTCACCTTCCACATCTTTTCTTCTGTCAGCCCTTGGTATTTCTCAAGCTTCTCGTGTTCCTTCTTCCTGATGTTGCTATCACTTGGGATTGCTACATCTATCACTACGGCCTTCTTCTTTTGTTTGTCCACCACTACTATGTCCGGTTGGTTGGCCATTACCAG